TCGCTGCTCTGCTGTCTAATCCTGGGCAAGTACATCCCCTCTGGGCACCTGGTTCCCCTCCCTCCCTGACACATCTATTTAAACTGCAAATTCAGAGGGGCACTGACCATCTTGGCAATGACAAGGCACATACACTCTGCACTTATATTTCTATTCATAACTATTCCCACTGCTAGGAAGTACTAAAACAAAAACCAAGATAGATATTGAACAGTCAACGATGCACTATACTAGTTTTGAGGTATTTGTGTATAAAATCTAAAAGGCAAACTCTCCCCAGTGGTAGCAGGCCAGAGGACACCTACGTCCTTTTCCTGCATATTTGGGCAATCCAATTAGAGGTAATTGAGTTTTTAACTACATAAAATTACTTCAAGAATACCATCACTAGAGGCTAACTCTCCTGGGAGGCTGGGGGAAGGGAGCAAGAAACTTTATAAAACTGGAAGGAGCAGAAAAGGGACGGGGCATGCAGCCTGAAACACACTGAAGGGACCACGCAGCTGAGCCAACTAAGGCATTCATATTTTTTACAAATATGTAAATAGCTGGGCCACAGACTCAAAGGTTTGCGTGTTCCCAGTTCAATGAATTAAAGAGAAGTTAAATACACCCACACGACTATGTGTTTTTAACTGCAATCATAATGTAAAGCACCAATCTACAAGCACCAAAAGGCTCTTACAGACCTGTAAATGCCACAATCATAAAAAGAAAATGAAATTACTATAATGAAATTAATTCTTGCAGCATTTGTGAACTGCCATTCGTGTGCAATGCATACAAGCACCTCTTTTACACATCAAAATCAGTTTCACATTACAGCCACCTCCCAACCAGAAATGGTCACTGTATTCACCAAGAAACAGCTGAATGGTTCTACTGCCAGACCTTAGATTTGGTTTGCACACCCTGATAGCCCTAGAAATGCTAGAAATGTCATTAATTTCCAACCGCCTTTGTTCTTTTTGATGGCTACTAAAATCTAAGGTACAAGCATTAACAGGAAATAGTATTTTCAGCACTACAGCAACAATTGAGATAGCTACAGTTTCTCCTGTAGCTTTACACTGATTCAAGATATTTACTAAGACTGTTTTAAATGTTCAGATATGTTGAAAGCCTATTTCTTAAGATGATGAGCACAATAAGCAGAAAACTCTGAAGCACCTTCTCCCCTGACTTAGAGGTAAATCAACCTGAACGATTAGGAAGGTACGCTTTGTGCACAGAAAGATATAATTTACTGAAATGAAATTTAAAAGTTATCAAGCAGACTGCAAAGAAAGAACACCTTCCACTTCAAAGAAAGAAAAAAAAAAACCAAACAATTTAACAAAAGAAATGAGCTAATTGTCTGTCCTGTGCTATAGGGGATGCTCTTGCTTAGCTTACAAATGAAAGACACTCCCTCCTCCTCCTGCAAGCATAGGAACTCCACAGCACTAAAATGACACCTTAAATGAGCCAACTTCCTTGAGCATTGCCCAGGAGACTAGAACAGGCATGCCTCTTAATTCAGAAACCGAGAAACATGTCCGATTATCAGCCAGGCTGAAGAACATCTCTGACCAAGACCAGCCCAGGAAAAACATTCATGTTCAAGCTAAAAAAACAAGGGTTGCCAAAACTGGCATATTTTTATAGCCTTTGTGTAAACATAAGCTCCGGATTAGCTAGCATCTCAGCTAGCTCTACCTGGATTCCCTTCTTTTGAAACAAAATTAAGGAAAACACCCACCAGAAAAGGTCAGTAGCCAAACTATGAGGAAAAAATAAAAGCACGGGGGAAGAACGTACATAGTGATTCATTAAATGTGTGCTGCCAAAACTCTTAACAGTGAGCACAAAGCAGACTTTTCACAAAACTAATTTGCAGAACTGTTGAGCCACACAGAGCAGTAATTAGCATTGTATTTTTTTAAGAAATTCTCAGTACTCCTCTAGAGCTGCCCCCACGAATATAAGTGGTGTGAACCCCATGGTTTAGAGGAGCACAAACCAGACTTTGCACAAAACTATACTTAATTTGCAGAACTGTTGAGCCACACAGAGCAGTAATTAGCATTGTATTTTTTTAAGAAATTCTCAGTACTCCTCTAGAGCTGCCCCCACGAATATAAGTGGTGTGAACCCCATGGTTTAGAGAGAAACAAAGCTAAAGCAACTAACGATAAAGAATGGTGCCCTTGATGGGTGGCGCAACAAAAGCTCTACCTGTTTCAAGTGTACACCTACGCACAACAAATGGACTGAGCATCTCAGGTTTTTAGAAAAACACTCAACCTGGAAAACAAGTTACGTCCTAAGGTGAGTGCCCAGGTGGGAATTCACCTTACACTGTCCCTAGAATACACGGTCTCAGATCATCAACTGCACCAAATCACATACAACGAACAGTGTTGCTTTTTACAAAACTAGCTCCATTCTGAGCCGAACGACTTGCATTTGACTACAGTAACTTTCCAAGACACATCCCAGTCCTGTTCTGAAAACATCAAGAATTAGAGATTTCATCGCATTCCAGAGTCAATTTTAACAGTGAGGCCAATTAACCAGCGGAACATTGTGAACTTGAGGTCTTATTTGTTCCTTCAGACCCTATTTAGTTCCTATCTGTTTAACTAAGGTTACTGGTTCTTGCTACATGTGCTGTTGCACTGTCCAGATTTGTACTTACTGTAAATTGAGTCAGATCTTAACCTTCTCTTAAACTAAAATCAGAACACAATACAAAGCATATCCTTCCTCCTTTGAATGAACCTTTGTGGCTCCTCTTTGTGTTCTTTCTGATTTTTACATTCAAAATACAGTCAGCAGAACTCTTCGGTCCATGAGTCTTCCCAGGACTGCACTCAGAAGGAAAAGTCCATTCCTGTTTACCGCTGTACTATTCACGTATCGAAGGCCCACGCTGTGGCCAAGGGTCAGGCTGGTTTACTTGCTTAGCTAAATCCTCTTCACAGAGCCTGTTATTTACTCTTCTATTTATAATTTTGCATTTAGCCATATTAAAACACATTTCATTTAAATGAGGCCAGCTTGTCAAAGCAGCCCTGTAAACGGCCAACTTGCATGTCATCCATAGAAATCAAACATCTGCTTCCAAACACTGAACTGTGTCCTAGCAGAACACCCACAGAAATATTCCCATGCTGTGGTAACCAACAGCTACTTTAGAAATTACACTTTAGCCAGTTAATTAATTTATTGTGCAGAATCTCAATATTGTTATTATTGTGCAATGCAATGTCTACATAATTCTAAAAATCGATGTCATGTAATAAATAAATCAAGCACCCTACAAAGAAAGTATGGAAACATTCATCTTTCCCAACAAAACCTGTAATTTTATCAGTATAACATCTGTTTTGCTTGTTGTATTCCATTTTCCATAAATAGTAGTTACCGACTTCAAATATTCCTTTCCTTGTTAACCGTACTTATTCCTAATTTATTCTTTTAAACTGTTCTTTTTTAATCTAGGACTAAAGTCAGTCAGGGTGAGGGTTTTTTGTTCCTTTGGGACTGAACAAATTAAATTAGTCACCTACTCACACCTCCTGAACACTGATACAGTAACAATCAGTTACCTCGAGTATCCCCTCTTATTCCAAATGTTAAGATTTAACTGTCATGATGCTAGAAAACTCCGCATCCAAGTCTTTCAGCATGCCTAAGTTTACTTAGGGCTGCAGATCTGAAATGTCCACTACCACATACTGTATTTAACATCCATTTGCAAATACATTAGAAAGTACTTCCATGGTCCTCATCATACAGCGTAAGCCTTCCTTTTCCCAGAAGAAAGGCCAACAGCTTTAAGAAATTCTGACAATCTATGTCAACACCAAGAAAATGTATGGGCATTCAGTTACAATATTTTTTAAACAGAACAAATATTTTCTGTCCATCAGCTTTTCTACACAAACAGAAAACGTCTCACAAAGCGTATCAATCTCCCCCAGACTCTTAGATTTTAAAAAGAAAATGAAGAAGGTGCAGTTTATACTACAGGAAAACAAGAAAACAAACTGCACAACTTTGCAAAAGCTAATACTACTTTTGGAAAAATAAGCTGCAAATGCTTCTACATTGTGAACTCTGTGGGGCACAATGAACACAGCACAGACAAAATGAATCCATTAATTGGCGGGAGACTAGTTTGATGCAAAGGTTCTTGCTCTACTGACTTCTTGGTTTGTTAAAGAGGGTAGGGCGTCTGTTATTTTCCGGACATTGTTTACCATTATCAATTCTAAAATACAAAATCTAAAAAAGTGCAGAGATTTAAAATAAAACAGGAAACCAGTAAGGTGCAAAAAAGAACACTGCCCCCGCTCCTAACCACCCACACCCCCCACCAAAAAAAAAACTTGATATTTCCACTCACAGGCTGATGCATACTTGTACCATGTCATGATAAAGAACAGAAATGCTGACAGATCTTTAGCTGTCACTGTAGCAGTAACACAATGCAAAAAAAAAAAAAAAAAAAACAACCACACCACACACACCAAAAAAAAAAAGAAAACACCACCACACACAAAAAAATTGTTGCTTCCTGGAGTCCAATAACAATGAAAACAGCATCCTTAACCGCTCGGCACCATCTCCTAAACTGTCTGTCTCATACTCACTCCAGTGCTTAAAGCAAATCTGAAAAAAGTACAGCCTATTCCTTGAACTTCCAAGATTTCAACTTCCAGAACTGGTATACAAATGAGACAAAAATAATTCAAGGACACCATAACTTTGCAGGGAAA